AAAGTCATAACCAGAGCCACAGGAGTTCTTTCCAATTAGCCCAGCAGCGTAGGCTTCATTGATGGCCACCTAAGAGCCAGCAGAGAGAATATGAGGCTTAATCTGTATGAAATTGAGTTGGATGGAGGTGCAGCTACTTTTGTGTCTGAATCACCTCCAACTAAAAGACATTAGTTGTACAGCTGATTTTTTTTTTAATTTAGTCACATTACCAACTTTAATATAATCTGAAAGTATGCAGCTTATTATCAGTATCCAATATAACATTTAAACAACAAACAAATAAACACTTACTTTCCCCTTCCCAGGCCTTGAAAAATAAGACAAATTTAATTACTTTAAATATGGCTGAAGGGCAGTATAATAAAAAATAATGGGTTATAATAATATTATACTATAAGCCCTTTTAAAAAAAAAAAAAAAATCAAATTTCACACGTTATATTAATATTTTAAATCTGGAAAGGAAAGTAATCCATAAAGCTTCAGAATAAAATGTACTGGAGTCATTGCTAGAAGCAGACAGAATAACTCCTGTCGGCCTGGAGAAAGTTTATATTAATCAGCCAAATTTATGGATCAAAATATTTGAAATAAACAAAACTCATTTTAAATATGGTCACTGTTATATCAGCTGAGAAGCTGATTTATGATTTGAACCAGAGTTTTTTCCTCTTTGTTTTGTTGCTGTACTCCATCGCTTATTTATATTTGTTATAATAATGTTCTTCACTGGTATGAAAATATTTGCAGTGATATTCCCAAAATTGTATCAGTTGTGGACCATGTTTTACAATCATTTGTAATTATGCTGAAAGCTTAAAAAGATGAGCTCAATTTTAACCCGGGTCCTTCAGACATGCATCGACTACAGTAATGTTTAAGTGTTTTGTTTTGATCTCTTTGCATTTTCTCCATAAACTGAAGATGATAGTGAGGTGTATGATAAATTTAAAGACTTGATCTCAGTTGTCTCTATCCATCTCTACCTGCAGGTTAGAGGACTCATTGTAGAACTCTCCTCTGATGTAGATGTAAGCAGCACGGGCTCCCATGGCCCTCCCAGCGATCAGGCAGCCTTCGACCAGCTTGTGTGGGTCATTCCTCATGATCTCCCTGTCCTTACAGGTGCCCGGTTCTCCCTCATCTGCATTCACCACCAGATACTTTGGGCTAACATACGAAAACAGAAACAAGTC